CAGCTGACTGTGGAAAAACCCATGCAAACTAATTACATGTAGTGTTATTTTTTATTGCGGATTTTTTTGCCTGGTGTCACCAATTTCAAAATGCCTGGATCAGAGAACATACCTTATAAACACGTGGTCGCATCCAACTGACTGGCATGTACTGTAGCCAATATCAAAGGCTATTTTCATGCCGTCCGTAACAACCACCATACACGTTTCTGTCCCTGCGATGGACCAGTCATATATTTTGAAATTACCAACGTCCATAATTTCTAGTCTGGTGGTACAAAATACAGTTATATTTTTGTATCTGTTAGATATTCATAAATATCTACTGGTATAGTAAAATCTAAATATAAAACTAATATAATCTTTCTACTTACACCCAAACCGTTCCAGAGTGTGGTTCGATCGACCACGGAAACAACACAAAACAGCTGATCGTGTCAAAGGTTAATACCGGGGAACTCACTATTAAATAATTGAGTGCGGATGAAATATTTTTACCGTGATTACAATTTACGCGTGCATGATTTATAACACATAGATCCGATAGCAAGCTAGAATATGACCCAAATCAAGGATTTATAAGACTGTCTTATAAATCATTGCGCAGAAGTATTGAGTCGACGATGGACGGTTGAGTAGCACCCCCGGACTAACCATAAGATAGCAGCATGGCGGACTCTGACAACGCTGTCCTTCCCGTTGAGAAGAAAGAATTACACGTGCCAGATTACAACGAAGTCGTCAAAGGTGATTAATGAAACTCTATTTTGTGCTGATTATCAGTGTCATTTCAATGCTTTGTTTCGAGATTAAGGACAATGAAATTCGGTGTGTGCGGGTCCTGGTCAAGGTGTTATCGTGATGGAACGAGCGTCCGTCGACCCCCAACCATGCACAGATTTCTTCTAGTAACCGTGGATCACCTGACCATATGCTCCGGGCCCGAAACACCGTTTTGTATGCTGGGTTATTAAATTCTAAACTCGATAGGAAGTGTCTTAGCGTTAGGGGGGAGTTACCTCAATGTCATCAATTATTTGTCACGCCCACTCCAACACAACAGGTACTCAGCTGGTGCTTGTCAGAGAAGCCAAATGAAACACAATCCCCCCCCCCCCCAAAAAAAAACGCTTCCAAGCAACCCCTCACTCCATGTAATCTTAGCTCCATGCAAGGACATATAACACTGGTGATTGTTGCTAATGTGATAATTCTGTGAATGTTAAAGAATAATTAACTTTTTTCTTTACTTTGCACAGTATATTGTAATAAAAATATTCATTGCTAGCAGGGTAATCTGGCTTTCACCATTTACACACTCACATAATATTTAAAGTGCCAGTGAAACACTTATGTCCAAAGTCACTTATTAGTATGTGATTTTTATCATAGTTTATATAGATATCTGAGCACAAAATTGTTTAAAAGTGCTGTCACTAATTTATTGCATTTCACGACAAGGCTCTTCTTTAGCTTTCATTTGCATATTCCGGGAACATTACTTCACAACATCATAGACATGTTAGTGGGACTGTAACATGGTTCTGGAGAACGCTCATGGTTTAACAATTTATTGTCTATAGACTTTTGAATAAACTAAGATTTTTTTTTTTACAAATTTGGACTTGATTCATTTACCTTTGGATCAATTTCTTCTGTATCAATTTTGCGACCTGTCACCGTGGCTTACAATGGAGTTGGAGTTCGGTCTATGTTTGATACATATAAATCAATGTGAAAATCATAAAATGGCAAGAGAAAACAAAATGAAAATCGCATATACACTGTACTTTATAATTGAGTCCCAAGCAATGATAACAACACACGTCATACATAATTTTATTTTAAAATGAAAGC